ACCTTTATCCTTATTAGGCTAATAAGCCCTAATTAATAGAATAATATTAAAAATACTATAGTTAATACTTTTTGCTTTTAAGCTTAGCTAGGTTAATTATATAAAGAGTATATAGTAATAAGGAATTAGAAGTAAAGAAAAAAATAGTAATAACTCTATTTAGCTTAGGATTAAATAATTAATTAGTTATAAAAGGGATATTAGTAAAGGAAAGGCTTGATATATATATAAGTTGCTTTAATAAATGCTTACTTAATATAATTTCTTAAGTATAAGGGTATATATTAAAACTATATAGAGACCTATATAATAGTTATAGTAAGTATTCTAGGGTAAAAGGTCTAGCCTTAAAAGGAAGATTAGTTAATTACCTATAGTAAAGGGATATAAAAGGGATAGGGATTCTTTAAGACCTTAAAAGCTATATACGTTTTCTTATACTTCTTTTCTAGCTTTTACTTTTATACTTTTAAAGTAATACTAATTATCTTAGTAAATAGCTAATAAAAAATAACTTTATAACTTACTAAAACTAATATTAAAAAAGCTATAATAATATATTATAAAGTATTATATTATATTATTTTTATTATATAAGACCTTATTAACTATACTTTATATATTTCTATAAAGATATTTTATCTTTTTAATATTAATTACTTTATAAATTATATTTATTTTAACTTAATATTAACTTTACTTAATGCCTTTACCTAGCATTACTATTTAATCTCTGCCTTCTTTAAACCCTTCTTATATACCCGGACAGTTTATAAGTATCCCCAGTTATAGCATTGTTAACGTATTCAGTAGCCAGACTGCTGTCAGCATCGGCGCACCGCGTTGGGTTAACGATCCAATACCTCGGGTTCAGGGCTTTATAGAGTGACTAAAGCATTATATACTCCCAGCCTCTCTCGCTATCTACCTACAATTAGCATTTATAGATTCAGCATAACGGGGGTTCTAGTGTTATATAGCTATGGATAGCGGCGGCCTGTAAGGTTAAGCTGGTGTCATACAGTAAAACCTCCAGTCCGCACTTCCCCCTGCCCGTTCTCCACTATATGCGTCATAATATCTTCACCGCCTTAATCTCATTTTATTATCTTTTATAATATTTTCTATTAATTCACACCCAGTCTCCTATTGAACCTCTTTCTTATTATAGTCAATCTCTGAACCTCACGCTATAACAAGAAACCACAATGTCAGCCCCCGAGTCTCACTCAACTATGAATGTCGATGAGTTTGAGAAGACACTCCTGCAGTTACGATGCTTTGACACTATGTTTCTCGTCGACGACTCAGAGGCCATGCAACCATACTGGCCCGAGATCAAGACGCTGATAGAGCGCATTGCACCCATTTGTGCTAAGCACGATCCAGACGGTGTCGATCTGTACTTCGTCAACCATCGACCAGGCGGCGTTCTGGCCAAATTGCCCGGTTTGCAATCTATCCGCAAGTCAGGTTACACTCATATTGGCGGCTTCGTCGGCAACATGCTCTTGACAAGCAAGGGAAAGCAGGTTGGCAGCATCTTTGATAGTGTCAAGCCGGCTGGGAAGTGCAACATGGGCGCCAGGCTCGGTGGTCTCCTCAAATGGTACTGCGACAAGTACACAGCCGGAGAGGAGAAGGCTGCTCTTAACATCGTCGTGCTCACTGCGGGCCAATTCGACGACGACATCAAAACGCCCCTGATCAACGCCGCGAGAACCCTGGATGAGGCCAAAGCACCGATTCATCAGGCTGGTGTTCAACTGTTCCGCCTGGGTGGGCCGCATCTTGAGCGGCAGAGGACACTACAACATCTCGACGACGAGCTGCATAAAGAGGCTGGAACGCGAGACATTGTCGATACGGTGACTTGGAGCGGACATGGAACATCTATGTCGGACGATGAGCTGCTTAAAGTTGTTTTGGGGGCGGTTATCAAGAAGATCGATATGCGTGCCTCTGAGTTGCACTTGGATGAACAAGCCCTGACTGCGCGTGCTGACCGGGAGTTTGATGAGAATAATGTTATCTAACAGGTAGTAGATAGCATTAGCACCAATTGGTAGAGCGAGATATCCCTGGATCTCCCTAAGGAATGCGGTACATTGCGTTTGAGCAATCCTGTATCAAGGAGCAGCGGCCAAATTGATAGTTTCACCATGCATACGGACTCGCATAATCCCGAGTTTAAGGAACAAAGCTAAATGAAATGTGATGGAGGCGGCCCTCCATGGCTGTCGAATTTATGCCTACGCCACAGATAAAGAGTAAGCAGTGATTTCTGGCCGGACAGGCAGCATGGAAGCTCATCTCGGACTGCTATGCACGTGCCCGGTGTTTCCTGAAGGTAATTCAAAATGTATGATTGAAAGTTGTCGCGCTGTAGCCCTATCTTTACATACCCAATAGCCAACAGCCGTTTTCACACCACCAAAATAGCCAATGCTTAGATTCGTCACGTCTTACTCCGTAGTTTGACAGTGAATAGAGCAGAGTCTGCGCCCCTTCAATGGCTCATCCCATCTCTGCGACAAAACAGGGTTTGACAAGCATTGCCGTTGCAGTTGCAGTTACGCTGCCATATTTCGTATAGTCCCAAAGCCATACAAGGGAGCCATGGATCAACTCAACCTCTACTACTTGAGCAACGAAAAGGCCTTGTCAACGTTCTTTGATGCGGGTCAGTCTTCGTGGGGTTAGTATCTCTATCTTGAGACAATGTAGAATTACTACCACGTATCAGATTGCCTGCAAGCCATATAAGCACAATACCATGAGCATACTAGATTATATTTGTTGACATAAAGTCCTTCTGCGGTTCTTCGAGTTATTCAAGTTTTTTACCGCTCGGGGTTGGTCCTGTATGAATGGCTGGGAGATATATGTAGAGCGAGCTGGGCTGATCTTTGACCCGGACACTGCCTTGGATTCGAGAATCCCTCGCGTCAGTGCCTGCTGACTTGCAAGACTCGGTTTACACGTTACTCCCCAGGATTCGTCGATGGTGAGGAATGCGGAAGGAGCGTCACAGAGCAGAGATGATCATAACACCCCATTGACAATTTCCTGGAATTCGGGTAAAGGTGCCAAGATGCAAGGGGGACATTGGCTCACTATCGTGTGAACTATTGTTTATGCATAAAGAAGTGAAACAAGACGTTGATAGGGCTGGTGTGAACAGGTGTTCAAATGTGGGTCCAAAATGTTTATCGCATTCCTTGCGTCAAGACAATTAGACCATGCTGACGGAAACCTGAGCAAAAGCTGCTGACAAAGGAGGCTGGCTGAGACTTACTACGCAAGCCACATGAGAAGGGAGGAAAAGAAAAGGAGATAAAGAAAGACCTTGCGCCTGTCTGTCGCACTACTGTGTTCTTCCGTTAGCAATGTCCCAGCAAATCAACAATGTCACAAGAGAAAGCATCAGCGCGACTTTTGACAATAATTCTCTTCATAACCGGGATACTTGTCTTCCTCGCACTTCCATTCCTACCAGGAAGGCCAAAACAACATGTCGTCAGACCAGTGAAAATTTCATTTCAGGCGGGGGAGCCGAATGAACCGAATGAACCAAATGAACCAAATGAGCAGTACCTCGTCGCATTGTGAGCATCATCTTGGATTCGCAAGATCGAGTAATATGCTGATATCATGGAAGTGGTGATTCCTACAGCCGCAGCGGCTTCCGAACGAACTATACGTATACCAGGACCGGACCTGGAGTGAAAGACATGGAGAGGAGGGAAAAGCCAAAAGACGAGCGTGTAGACGCTCCCAGCGCCTTGAATCCAATTGGCAATCCAGCGTTACCGGGAAATACATCATCTGGGGGTCAGAACTGGGCTACGTACATGACAACTGAATTCAACACCACGCTTACTCTGGCGTACATCTTTGCCCGATCAGCGTCGGTGGTGGATGCGGAGATAATACCATCGAGAAGCAAGTCGTCGTTTTCGTTTGCGCAGCAGATCGTTCATTTCCAGGATGCTATCGGCCATCGTCCTCATTACGCGGCGTGGACTGAGAAGAACATTGTCGCGACAGTTTGGTTCGGGTTCAACGACTTGTCTGTCGTGTCGCACAAGAGAGGCCAGGCCGCTGTATTGGCGGCTGCAAACCGACGTATCTTTGAGCTGTCTCAGATACTTTACGATACCGGAATTCGCAATTTTGTCTTTCTGGAGGTCCCACGTAAGCAGCCTTTGCTCTTTCCTAGTTCCATCTGACCAGTATTTAGCTAAGGAATTGTTTCCCTCGCATCAAGCACACAAGAACAACGACACGCATCATAGTTATGAGATGGTGTCTTACGCTGTGAATCGGTGGAATAGCCTTCTTAGGCAAAACACTGTTCGCTTCCGGAAGTCCCATCCGGACGCAAAAGTCACTTACGTAGAGATATGGGACATATTCTATGAGGCTTTCCTGAGGCCACAGGATCTGGGTGCACCTAACTCGACTTGCGTCGATCCAAGCGGCAAAGTCTGTGTAAGTCATCCTCATGCAGAGCAATTATCATTGACTAACTGCTCCAAGCTCTGGGCCAATACGGCTCATCCTGGAGAGAGGATTCATCAGCTCATCGGTGCTAGAGTAGCTGAGAAGGCCTGGGGGTAATAGTGTTATATGGAGTTCAGCTGGTAATGCTAGGAGTGTAGATATATGTTAACTCAAACTCAATACATACTGCGGCCCTAAGTGGTGCTTGAGCTACAATTTCACAGATCACACTATTCAGTCCTTGAAAAAGTTTAATAAGCGATATTTGCTATATTCACTTGTCTTCTTTGGCGTATTGCTGCCAAATTTGACTATAGAAGAAATCGTAGAAAGCCTCAAGGAGCTTGCTGAACCAATCGTCCACGTCAAAACCTGGAAACCCATCCTCTCAACGATACTGAAGTCTGGTTTCAGAGCATCAAAGATGTAGCAAGGACGGTCTGTGTATCTTGGCCCTGTTCCCTCTTGTACCTCGTCATTATATCTCTTCATCCCTGCAATCAAATGCTTGTCTGGGGCAATAGCTTCACTATGTATACATACCAGTTGCAGATCGACAGCGTTTCCTTCTGGCGTAGCCCATTCTCCAGGATCTAGGTATCGCCAGTGATCACAGGGATCATGTGCCAAGCACTCGTTTGCCTTGCTGTGGCGAATCCGCAATCTTTTAGACTCTGGGTCTGCGCTGAATCTCGTGATGAATACCCAGGAGAAACTTCTTCTCGATTGCTCGGTTTTCTGTACCTGGTAATATCTAGAGTCAAGGTGCGGATAATTTGGACCTTTGTCGCCGGGTTCGACTATCATGGTAGCCTTGCTGGGCAGAGGCTGAATGGCTTCTAGGGCCAACCCCAATTCGAGTTAGGCGATTATGGCCCGAACGTTCGCCAATTCACTCAGTAACTGCGGCTCAGCCTCCCGCACGAGATTCAATCGTTTCTCAAGAATATTGAGTCTCGAGGACATGTATTAGAAGTACCGGTGGTCTTGGATGTCCCACATCAGTGCTTTAATCTGCTGTATCTCCCTAATTATATTGTCCTCAGTAACTTTTCTGTCGTTCCTGAAGAACGAGATCTTGTTCTCCAATTCGGCCGCCCTCTCAGTGGGATATTCCATTTTTCGATCGAGGGCTTTATTGAGAAGGCTCCAATGACTTTATATCATTTGCATCTGTTTCGAAAAGGCGAGAGTGGCTGACCTGGCGAATGTTATGCTGGCTGCTGATTTCCGGCTCCAGGGCAATGTCTTCTTGATTGAGTTGATCGGGGTATATCCTTTTAGTAAGTCACAGGACAGTAAGACACGGACTGGCTACCGGTATCACGCAACTGCTTGGATATAATACCAGACACACAGCTCATTTCCTGCTTAGGGAATTGCCAAGGAAAGGAACCCATTTATACATGACAGTTGCTTCAGGGCGTTGGATTCTAATCGAGTCATAGTTCTATAGAGTCGTCTTTGTGAACGACTGTGAACATGAACAAGTCCTTGAAGGGCTTTTCCATAAGGACATGTTCATCCGATTAACAGCTCGCTGTCTTTATCATCTCGGACTCGGCGAACACATGATACGGAACAGTGGAACAAAACTCTAGTAATGCCCTAATTGGTCAGGATAATGGACCAGGGCAATGGGATCGACAAGTTTACAGATTCGAAAGTAGCTAGACTTGATATTTGAGATAAGAGAGAATAAGTCATATTAAAAAAACCGATAGCCTGTATTTATTGTATTTGTAGTTTGTGCTGCGTTGAGGTGCGTGCAATCGTTATCTGCTTATCTCTTATCCGCTCTTACCCCACTGATGCGATAACCGGAACCTGGACCACCAACGGCAAGAAAACACCAACAGCTAACCTGGCATCATCAACGCATCAATTCGACATCTCATATCAAGGCAACACTGACTATCAAGCTCCCTTTGTCGACTGGACGCGAAGTTCATTCAATGACTGCATCTCGAGATGAGCACTACAGTCCGCACGCAGATCAACCCCAGCCAGACGCGTCATCTGCATGGCCCCGTCTGTTTCGCGTCATCGTGCCATTTGCATCGCACCGCGTCTACTAAATCCATCAACTGCAGACAGCCGACGTAATTTCGTTGTCGCCCGCGCCTGAAAATTAGTCAAAGCACTCAACCCGCTGCTCTCGTCCTCTTCCTCACCAACATTACTCATGAGTCATCTGTGTCGCGCCACGCAACAAGCGCGACCTGCTGACACTATGGCGCCGAATGAAAGAACAACACTGAAGGGGCAATCGGCTGAGGAAGATGAGGTTGCCAACAACTATCGAGAGTCCTCGGTCGAGTCCTGCATTGTCCTGGCTATTTCGACCATTGTCACTCGAGCTCATGCGGAGCACATGTCGGGTTCTGAGCCATCTACTAGCAAGGAGGGTACTGCGCGGCCAGTCGAGGAAACAATTAAATCCGAACCAGAAGACCCTCCTGACATGCTGATGTCGTTGTCAACGGTTGAGCCGTCTGACCAGTGCGAAGCAAAAACTCCTGAACCACTGGATGTTCCTTTTCAAGATCATCAACAACAGAAATGTGAAGGGCTCCCAGTCCTAGTGGACTACGATATTCCTCAGCAAGAGTTTGAGAATTCTACAGTGGAGGAGAAGTCAGATATGCCTGGAGCGAAAAATGCACCAACCTCTATACCCGATTTGAGTTTAAAAAGAAATGCCCAGGAGGCAACAGCTACATATCTTGAGACAATGGCCATTGAGAACAAGATTGCTAAAGAGGAGGAGCTGCAGAAGAAGCTACAGGAAAAGATGGACTACAACTACAATGTCATCCTCGACTGCGATGTCAGTATTGAAGTTGAGCGCCGTGCAATTAGCAGAGCCAAGAGCAGGAGGAGGCCATTCTGGATCCCATGGTTCATGGAGCGTCAACGCTACCTTACATCTAAACGCAAGAACCTTCAGAAGAAAAACGCCGAGATGGAGGGAGTCAGAAAGCGGCGCTGCAAGAAGCTGGAAGGGCTGATGTCAGAGAAACAAAGAATCGAAAAGAGCTTGCTTTATATGAACGAGACATATCAAGCCAGCACAATAAGAAATCTTAATTAACTTCATTCTTTACAGGGTTATATGCACATAGCCTTTCAGCCAAGACAGTTTCGGGAAAACTTAAGCCTGCTATCCTTTGTCTGCGGAGTATATCTTATGCAAAGTTGCGGTACTCAGATTTGCTTATAAAAATGGAGATCCGTGACCGATTTGCATAAAGTGAATAAGAATGTCTCTTGACAAGAAGAAGCTCCAGGATGAGTTAGGTCTAGTAGATTTACTAGAGTACGCCCGCAGTCCAAGCTTTGTAAAAGCGTCATTAGGAAAGAAAGAACTGGGAGAATATAGAACCGCAAAGGAACGAAATACTGCCTCCGCGCTATATCTGTAATGTCTAGTGTTATCCCAGTGTGGGATATATCATGGCCCGGTTATTAGCAGACAGTGTAATGCAGGGTAGACTAAATATATTCTACAATATTGTATATTTATTCAACCTGGTTCTGTCTCTTTTCAACCTTGTGGCTACCTCTGTATTAAATAGAACATGAGAATTATTGAGCCAGTCCAAAATCCTCAAATGGACAAAGGTCAGGATGGGGTTTAATTTAATAATTCTATGAAAGTCGTCCGGCTGTCTTTATTTACAAAGGAAACCGTTTGCCCTGGCTTTTGCGACGCTATTGAACCAAACATGCGCCATCTTGCTGTACCCGTTATCATTGGGATGTGTGCCATCCACTAGATCATCAAGCTCAGGGCCCTTGGTACTATACATATCTGCAAGAATTATCTTTTTTTGCTCTGCTTGCTTCAACACAACGAGGTTCCGGAGACGACGGTTGATGTCTTGAACTCGAGAGTTGACTTGCTCGTCTTCATTCAATAGCAACGTTGATAAAATAACTGTTGATAGGGGGGAGGTCTCCCATAAATATTCGAGCAGATCATCCATTCGGTGCTCAAACGCATCAAGCTTATGGCTCTGGATACAGTCATTGGATCCAGCGTTGATTGTGAAGAGGTTCGGCTTGACAGTCGCGACCGATCGTCTTGCTTTACTTTCGATCTGGTCAAGCCGATAGCCACGCCATCCTTCGTTTTCGTTGTTATGCATCGATCCAGCCTTGCGTGAACCAACCATACACACTTCATAGCCGTCGGCAAGAAGAAGATCTCGCAGGAGCTTCCTGTATCCGTTTCCATCCGAGGATCCAACGCCATACGTGACTGAGCCTCCCAGCGGCATCAGGCGTAGCGCAACATTCGGCGGCGTTGTTTGTGTGCTGTAAAGGGGGCCCGATGCCTGGTTTACCTTGTTGCTAGTTGTGGAGGTGACGTGAATTCGAGAAGCGCATTGCCCTGTGATAAGCAACCGGCATGACCGAGATATCAATGGCCGAAAAAGCATTGTGCAAGCCGCAAGAGCAGCAGATGAGGCTGGTCAAGTCGCCGGGATCTGTGAGGAGGGGTTTCAAGCCACAGTCGGATAGATGTCCTCGAGGTCACCGCCGATGGTTGACGAGGGCCCATCTGTGCCAAAAGTTGGAGAAACACGGGATATTAATAAGCAGGCCTGAAACTGGTCACAACGCCGATATCCAATTGAATTCCATGAAACAAAGCTCGTCAACCCGACCCAATAACAGTCGATGCGAGCCGCATGCACAGCAATTTAATCTCAGTTGTACTCTTTCGACCCACAATGGCGATAATTGCCAGAACCTAGACACAAGTGCGGCACTGAATGGCTGATGAAGAACGCATGCCTGAGCTGAGTCACAGTGGTGAGTTTCTTCCGGATTCGGGTTTCGCTGCTGTACCGAATGTGGCCGTCTCAGCCACTTCCATGAGAGGCGACTAAGTGGGGTTGTTGGAAAAATCACAAGATCGCCAAACCCACCAGCTACGTCAGTGCTTGCTGGCCACGATGTGAAACCTTACGCTGTAAAGGCAGGCGATGTGGTGACACTAGCAACTTTTATCTCATATCTGAGACATTGCATTTTGTAGGATATAGCAAAGTGTTGAAAATTAGCAAGCATCGTTACAATTGTTTCGGCACGAAAACAACATCCGTCCCTCTCTATACCTATTTGTTTTTTCCAACTCCTTATGTTGAACGAGCCCCGACTAATCCCATCACCAGTCACTTAACAGTACAATCATCTTCAGCTATACTTGGATGACACTGGCTAAACCGAGTCAGTGCAATTCAAGCAACTCAGACTATCCAATTCCAGCATCCATGGCCTTCTCAAGGCCACTCACCTTTTCTATCTTGCTCAGCCCACGGGGTATGATTGCTGTGCAAGGATGAGAATGGCCAAGAGGTAGAAAAAGATTAGTCCATGGATTTCACCGAAGAAACCTCACATTGCGGAGCAAAGTGATAGTTGATTGCCATTGCTAGTGCTGCCAAGTCTGCATTTTGAGGATACGCATCAACGCTGATGAGATTTGGATACGTCGATGGAGACATTGCTGGCCAGAGTAACTCAATGAGGGCTCGGTTAGCATGCAGGGCATTTGGAATGATAGGGTGTACACGCTGGGTCAGAAACCATGAGAGAAGAAACATTGTCGATTTTGGGGATTTCCGTTGCTTTTTCATCTTGGTTAACTGGTCGACGGTCATCTTCTTCTGGTGTTTTGTATTGGAGTACTCGTCGAATAGAGGGAACTGAGATCGATTGAAGAACCCCTTGTCTGCAAATGCGGAAAGGTCGACTGGAACTAGGATGGTCTTCTCCTTCAGACCCGTGATCTTTTTCTTGTGGACATGATCGTCTATAATAATAAGAACAGCGGCACGGTTCGGGATGAGCTTAGAGACCCGAAGTTTCGTAAGGTCACGTACAAAGCTCCGGTTTTTAACCCGGTAGTTGATCTTCTTCAGTTTCGTCATCACCTCGTTCCATTCGTCCTGGGTCATCCATACGTTTTTTTTGCCTTTAAAGGTGTCTGAGTTTACAGCGTGGCTAAGATTGAGGATGATAAGTTCCTTGTTTCTCATGGTAAAATAGTTCAAGGCCTCAATAATGTCATCGAGGTACTCGCCATTGCCTCCATGCCAGTTGCCTAGGCTGAACCCAAAGTGGCCAGTTGCCCACTTGCCACCAGTCTTGGAAGGACGAATGTCAAACCAGCGAGCACCATATCTCAGCTGCTCTGAGATGTTGTACTGCTGAGTTTTGGTGTTCGCGGGTTGACCAAACCATGACTTTCGATGGAAGCGGGACATGCCTGAGTTATGTGTTGCGGGCATAGCCAGTTCTCGGAGCGTAAGACATGCGATCCGGGGATAGATGGAGTGCATCCAGTCTTCAGGGGGGTTGGATGAGACAAGCCATGGCCAAAGTGAAGGATTTTGAGGATCACTCTCAGAGCTGGCGATGATAAAGGGAAAGTTATTGTCCCATTGCCATGCCAGCTCGTGAAAGGAGCCGCGTTTGTTGTTGAGGGTCCTAAGTTTGGTAAATCGGATGCCAGCCTCCCTGAACTTGTATTTAAGCTCGAAATCGGGATCGCCGGGCAGGTCTTTGAATTTGTAGCTTGCCTCGCCAGCATCGTCTGGATGGCCTTTGCCCTGGATGTAAATTCTGTTCGACGTGCCTAGCGCTCAATCAGTTTAGTCAAACTAACGACTAAAACAGGGTTTCTCACCTGGCTTGATGGTTTTGGGAAACTTGAATTGTCTCATCTGGTAGCTAACGTTTCTCGACAAGGTCATAGTCCAAGGCGTTGCATTGACAAGAAGAAAGTAAGATCCGACCTTGAAGCAACGACGCTCCAGCTGTTCCAACACATGATTCCCCGGAGTTTCAACCACCATGTGCCCACTGTCAAAGCGAGTCTCGATAACATTGGTAGCTAGCTGCGTAGGTGGTGCAGCAATGCTGAAGTTAGTTAGAGCGAAGACGCATAACAAAAAGCGACAGAGCATTTTGAACTCAATGGAACGCTGCAACGCAAAGACAAAAAAGGGTTTCATGGTAATTCAGAGTAAAAGCAAGATGTGAAAAATCATGAGTGGGAGGGGAAGGCATCGCCCGCTTTGACGGAACTCAATGTCATTTAATAGCGTTTTCTCTTGTACTGATTAACTTCGTCAGCACCCACCTGTGGGGGACCAGGCTTCTTATACCGCAGGCCAAAAAGCTAAACATCGTGCTGCCAGTGCAGTGATGAGCACACGATATCGTTTCCCGCAATACAGAGTTCTACCCAATAATAAGCGCACATACTGCACCAGCGCCAAATTTGCCGCGGGGTACAAGACGAGACGGCTGTACGATCTGACCATATTGGCAAACTCAAAATGAGTATGTCCCAAGCCACGAAAGGTGGAAGCGCCACTGAGTGCCGCAAGAATCTCTAGTGAACTCGTCAGGGCAGAGTTACTGATTGCGTGCGTGGATTGCATGTGGCGGAAGTGGACTCAATGCAATCATGCAGGACATGGTTTGGTGGGACTGTAAGCCTCAGCCGCCACGGAACGGCAAATGCATAAATTGACATGTTTGAGTAATAAATCGATGCTCTCACCCACATTTAAGATGCGGACGCGTCAATCCGCTGAAACAGGGTGGTAATTGTTCCTAGTTAAATATAGCTTGCTTGAATGACCTCATGGGGGGAGACACAGCCTTTGATGAGTTTGCGATCCACCAACTTGGAGGTTACTCTTTGTCTTCCTTTCGGAATGAGCTACCTCCGGCTTGCATACAAACGTTTCAATTTGCTCTCGTGTCCTACTTCTAATTGAAAAATGGTGAGTGGTTTCCGTGGTGCGCCACGTGTGGCCGTTTGGCTTTGGTTCCTGAACCTAATTGAGAATCAGATGGCGTGGCGCACTTCGATGATGATTCGTCATTGTCGACGGGTAACTTTATCTGATCTTGTGAATCCCATTCATCACCTGTGTTTCGCAGCCTAAGCTAAAGTTTGTAGGCGGCAGTCTTGTGTTGGGTGGCTGGTATACTGCCCAGATTCACTTTGATAAGAGTGTTATTTTGAGTTGATAGTCCCCACAGCTGATGGCTCACCTCACGCGCCTTACACGCGTATCATCTTGGAAGCACAAGAATCTGGCCAATCTCATGGAGTGGACCTGTGATCGACTTCGGCCTGAATCTTTTATCAATGGCGAAATGGGAATCGACATCAAGGCAAGCACTTCTCTTGGTGCCTAAGATCTCAACTTGTGATGCTGTTGGCCTCGAGTTCGACAACTGTGATGGCGATGAATATGGTATGACGCCTGGGGCTGAGGGAGTTAGGCGGGACAGACTCCGGAATTTCTCGACAGGACTTTTTCAAAGGGGCTGAGGTACATTCGCCGACAAAAACGAATGCGATGAAGATGTACGTGAGCTGTTGTAGAACGCTGTTGTGATGCGTATGCGAACCAGCCTTGCCATCATATTGGGTACAAGTAATCGGAGCTCTTTTCGGCCTTAAGAGTGATTCTCTCAAGCTTTTCCAAGAGTTTCGGAGCTTCCATCCGTTTCTCGGCGTCAACTTGCAATAGGTCATCTTCAATAAGCAGGATAAGATCTGCCAAAGCAGTATTATCGCCGCAAAGTGGCTGACTCCGGAGGTGACCAACAGCTTCAATGACTGCCGAGTGGATCTCTATCACATTGTCTGGAGTCTGGACGAAGAAGCTTCCAAACGCGTCTTTGGGATCATCTCGGGCACGCCTCGACTTTCTGAAGCTTCTGATGGTGCTGTAGTCAAAGACGAGCCAGACAGTGAATTCCAAGAACATACAGCCTAGAGACCACATATCGTAACGCCGACTCCTTGCCTTTGTCTTGCCATCGCGTTGATCTAGTTGTGCTTCGGGTGCTTCGTATGTGACTGTGGACTGCTGGCAGTTTGTTGGGTCTTGCCTCATGCTGGTAATCTCTCGATGGATCTTGGAGACACCAACATCTGCAAGGATCAGTCTTCCTCTACTGTCAATGGTAGCATCATCATGCGCTTTGAGAAAATGAAGAATGTTTTGTGGCTTGATATCTCCGTGGCGGGTATTTTTTCCATGGAGGGCGTTGATTGCACTGACTATGCCGAGCATCTGGCGAAGAGACCACAAGACGAGTTCTTGGGTGCGCTCTTTGCTGTCATTGGCTTTCCAAAAGTCTCTCAGATCTCCGCCGTCGGCCCAAGGAAATATGAAGTAGCAAACGGGCCCCTTCTGACAGGTAGCGATTAATTTGATAAGGTGTTCATGATTGAGGGATTGTGTAAGCTCCAGGTTTGCCTTTTCCTGCTCGAAAGCCTCATCGTTGGCAACCTCCTTGACAGCAACATAGGGCTCCGGGTTGTTCTAGGTCTTGTTAGCGCTTGGAACGTCTTATCGGCGACAGATATTGTGACCTTGAAGAGTGTCTGGTGAGCTCCGTGGATCTTGCATTTATGCAGCACACTGTTCGGGCCACTTTTGCATTTCATAACACAGTCTATTAAAGGAAGAGGGCATTTCGGATCCAGTAACAAATGCTGACCTAAGAGAACCAGTACAGGCGCTTGCACCAGCCATTGAAAGTTTAGAAAGTCTCGCACGCTCGCCTCCCTCGGCCAGAACGAAAATGAGGAGAAAGTCTTGCCAGTCTTGGGAGATATAAGGACATTTACGTCATCTCCATTGACGGATTGTCTAGTAAGAGGGAGATCTTCGTCCCTGATGTTATCTCGACAAACAAGGTCAACAATGGCGGTCGTTTCTTGAATGAGAACTAGGATGGAAAATACGACTCTGGCCTGGCTTGATATTGTTCTTGGTAGACTGCGATTTGAGAAGCATCGCTTCCTGACGGGGATTTCCACTTTGATGTTGGCTTCGGTTACTCTAGCATTGATTTCGCTTAGTGGGAGGAACTCTGAGTCTTCGTGGCAAGGGATGAGGCATTTGTTCAATTGCTTGTAGAGAGACATTCTGATCTTAGAATGTCTTGATTCGGCTTTAGTTGGCAGCGCAATTGATGCTTTCCCTTTTGCCGAGAGCACCAGCTTTCCCGATCGAAAGATCAGCAGGGTTAAAAAGTGCTTCTATTAGTCGCTTCTAAGGATGCAGGACATGAGTGGGCTCCTTTGCGAACTGTGAGGCTCTGCGGTTCGGTGGCCTCATAAGGCGGACAGACTTCTAAGCTGCTTATCATCCAAGCTAGATTGAGTAACCTGTTCATTATCGAAGATGAGGGGGGAAGCAACCAAAATGAACGAATTGGGCTAGTGGGAGCGTCGGGGTCGTAGCCTGTATTGTACACCGGGTACAGAATGTGGCAGGCCTCAATGTAAGCGAATGCGCCAACATGACACCACTTGACTGAGAACACCCTTGCCGCCCGTCAGCAGCACAACACCACCTCGGTCATAACATGGCATTCTCACAGCCTGACTAGAGGAGGAGAAAAGAACCCAGGAACTCGATTCTAAATGACAAAAAGACTTAGATAATATAACCTAAGCTTAGAATAACTTTTACTGAGTTTATTTTGACCCTTTCGTTTAGTGTTTGCTTTTTTCTTACTCCCGCGGGCCTGGTCTTGATTGAGGGGCTTCTTTTAATCCAGTAATGGTAAAAGCAAACAACCACAGTCAATAACTTGAACCATGGACCAAAATGGTACATAACAAAACGTATTCCAAGGCAGATTTCAGGCAGAACCAACCTACCGCCGAGCCAACATTATTCAGCAACTGTGATTGCTCAATGATGTAATCTCGCTTCTCAGCCAAGTTGTGGCTGGGCCAGCCAGCTAGAAGACGAGCCCCATTCGTCAAAAAGGTGTGATAATGCAATAAACACTACAGAACACTCCTGCAATGGCGGGTTCCATTGACCATGTGAGTACTTCCAAAGGCCGTGTCGTAAGTCCCTGGATTCAGCAATTTAAATATAGTGAGAATTGCAGATTGAGACCTCTAAAATTTCAACTAATAGCTCCCAATCCCTTTGAATTCTTGCGGTGAACGCTTTCTATTATCAGTATATTAGTATGAAGCTCATTGGGGCCATGGGCATACATGTTCACATCAGGCAGCAGTCACACATATGTGAGTCCATGTCAGTCATATCACAGCTTATAGTACTTGCATATGCATTGGCTGTAGGTGATGCAACCATGAAGAAAAGTGAGGCTGATCGATTCTTACGGCCAAAAGGAGTAGTCATGCCATCACTCATTGCCTGCATCGTTTCCTGTCTCACGAGGCAGCCCTTCGCACATTCATAACTGTATAGTACTACCTCAATTCCACACGTACGCTGGTAAGATCGAAACAATTGCATTTTACAGAACCTATGATCTTAGAAGTTATGACTACTGTTTGGAACTTCCTCACTGGGTTCTCCTCACCCGAGGTCGACAAGACGAAACTCAATCGATTGCGCAACACCATTCGCCATTCTCTCCAGAATAGCGTAATTAACGAAACATGCTTTCTTCCAGAAAGCGACATCAAAAACCTTGTGACGCCGGACAAGACAAAGCTATTACTGCCGAATGCCAAGCCAGACTTGATAGACTTTATCTGCAAGGATGCAAAAAAGCTCTTCTTAATTGCATCATTGCATCACAGTAACCTTCAGGACATCATGGGCACTTTTAGGCATCATGGCATGACAGACAAGTACCTTCCAATCCGCGATCTTACCTCAGAGGATAGGTACTGCGACGTTCACACTGAAGGGCTTCAGAGAGTTTGCAGCCACGAAAAGGCTTTGGAGGCTTTTCATGGTTGGGATGCTCATGATGTCTGGAACTTTTACAACGATCAATGGAAGTTTTGTGCCCCAATACTCAACATGGAATGCTCCTCCCAAGAATTCCACCCTAAGCACATACTGCCGTTTATACAGAAAGGTACAACCCAAAAGGATGGCCATTTCAGTACTGTCGTTGAGGCTGTAATCCATCCTAGCCACCAAATTGGCCGTGGGTCATTGAAGGTGAGCATCTTGTTATGACAAAGGCCATCGCTCACACCTTAATAGTCAAACATTGATCAGACCAGGGTCGCTCTCAAAGAGTTGAAAAGCCTCAGCGAGCCAAACTACAACGTACATGTATCATGGCTGAATGAGGCAAATGCACTCTTCCAGATTGCCGAGCTTCGTCACAAACATCTCATCAGTCAGGCAACTGCCTTCAAACAAGGAGAGAGAAGGTTCATCGTGCTCGAGTGGGCGAACGGGGGCACTTTGCGAGATATATGGCAGAAAGAGTCTCACGACAGATCTGTGCTAGACGGTGGCAAGGTCATGAGAGTTCTGGAAGAACTAAGTGGGATCGCAAGTGCGCTCTCAAGATTACACGGCACTAACACCAAGACAAGAACTGCAATGGCAATGTCTGCAGACCGCAGAAAGAACAACCCTATGTCAAGATCCAAAACAATTCTCTCACAGGGTCAAGGTGATCGCTTAACCGTTCCAAAGATACGCTTCGAGGGAGTAAGCTCAGACGATGATTATGACTCCAGCGACTACGGTGAAGAGCAGCATTGGCGCCACGGAGATCTCAAGCCCGATAATATCCTCCAATTTCTAGGTGACAAGTCTTCATGGCTTGGGACTCTCAAAATTGCTGACCTCGGTCTGGCCAAGCAACATGCATTTGCTACAACCCAGAGACAGGATCCAACCCAGCAGAAATATACAACTTCTCATTACGAGGCACCTGAAGTTATCACCGCCATGAACTCTCGAGTGCCTCGCTCACGCCGCTACGACATATGGTCCATGGGCTGTATCATATTCGAGTACGCGATCTGGCTCTTATACGGTTATGAAGAGGGACTGAAGAGCTTCTACAATGAGGGGAAGGACATCGATGCCTATCGAGAAACGTTGTACTTTACGGCCGATCTCAGCACAAGGCAAGCTCAAGTGAGTGACGCGGCGCGAAGATGGATCAACCACATCTTGGAAGTCGACCCGGAATGTAATCGTGCCACACCAAGCGTAATCAAAGATCTCGTGGTGTTGGTCAGGGATAAGCTTCTTGTAATTGATCTACCAAAGGAAAGCATGAGCGAGGCCGACATCAAGCGATGTCGCGCCAGTGCGGATGAGTTGGACAGAATCTTACAGAAGATGAAGAGAAGAGCCCTTGACGATGAACATAGGGAGGGCAAGTATTTATCATCGGGTATAGGACGCAACGGAATTTCGGCTCCTCGTCCGCAAAAGGTTCGTAGGCAGAGCTTCCTGTCGACCAGCTCAGGCTCAGCATCGAAACCATCAAATCTGGTACGAGCTCTGGTCTGATTGATCTTGGCAAGGCTGATATGATATAGGATGTAGGTGCATCAGCGGCAAATCGGAGATGACATTAGATGGCTAACTGATTTTGATCCCACCTTGTATTATAGACTGTAAGTTAGACTTTAGAGACGAGTTCGCCAGCAATTGATCGATGGCAGCTAATCTTGACTTCAGTATGTGAGTTACAGCCCCTGCTACAATATTGTCTCAGAACGATGCTCACCATTCATTGTGGTATCTCACAGAGTGTAAGTAAGAAGTACATATAAAGTGTGCCATCGTAGTTAGAAATGAAATGGCTAATGCAGACTGATCCTACAGCACGTAAGCAATATTTAATCATGCTCTGATACATTTCTGTTTCGAAACTGACCAGCGAACTGATTGAATAAGATTGTAAGTTTGCATGATAACCCTAGGTTTAAATAAAGTCCTCAAATAACTTACTAATCGTGACTTCACCATACAGGCAGTAAGCACAAGGGCACTCACTGATATACCATTGTTATCCTGACTTGGACAGTTCAATAATACTTGGAATCTGATGGAAGACCAAGCTATCTCTCTTGGAGTTCTGAAGCGCCATGAAACAGCGATCATGGACAGCATATCTAGGTCACAAGGATTACCGAAGCTATGTGATAAGTGCAGAAAGCTTGACTATCAGAGCGACGAACCCGTATTGAGGGAGACTCTGGCGACTATGAGATTCAAGACTCAACAGTGTGCGTTGCACAGCCTTATTTACCGTTCCATTCCCCCATCTACTTGTAACGACCTGGAGGTTGTGCATATTCGGAGATCTGACTCCTTACTTGTCATGGGCAAATCGAAAATACCCTTACTCTCACTTTCCAAAATCTCAGGTGCGTAAAGCTTTTGCAAATGCAACAGAATTGTAATCACTAATGGAGAGCAGAAAACACAAAAAAGAACCATCTACACTCTGATGATATTCACTTTGGGCTGCCCAAGCTTTTTCAGCCCAACACTGCGTTGTTCTACGACCTCCTCCGGACATGGATTCAAGATTGTGACTTGCATCATCCCCAATGCCGTCCCGCAGACAGATCGCACTTTCAGGTGCCGACTCGCCTGATTGAAGTGAGTCAGGTTGACGATGGAAGTTCGAAGGTCTTCCTTCGCAACGCAGTGGACGCCGTGCACCCAACAGTAGGAGAGTTGAGATACATCGCGCTGTCACATCCTTGGGGCAATGGAGAACAGCACGACCACTTCTGCACCACGAAAGACAACCTTGACAGTCGACTAAATGCCGGTATTGATCTAAAAGATTTTCCCAACACATTTAGACACGCAATCGAGGTGACTCGAGCACTTGATGTCCCATACCTGTGGATCGATTCGTTATGTATAGTGCAAGGACCGGGCGGGGACTTCGACACGGAAGCCAAGAGGATGGAGACCGTCTTCAGCTCCGCGTACTGTGTCATTGCCGCAAGTCGCGCCAACGGAACATCAAGTGGGTTTTTGTGGGAAAGGCCTGAACGTGAAGTAGTGAGACTGGATGGATATCTTTCCCATGATACAGTTTATGTCTGTGAAGCAATTGACAACTTTCAGCATGATGTGATAGAAGGGGCGCTGAACAAGCGCGGATGGGTCCTGCAAGAGCGGGCTCTTGCACCAAGGACCATATATTTCACGGAGAACCAGACGTACTGGGAGTGCGGCCAGGGTGTGCGCTGCGAGACATTGGCAAGGTTGACCAAGTAAGTTGCACCCAAAATCTCTACAATCCTCGTTGCTGACATTGGCCTTGTAGTAGCCAGGCTTCGTTCCTTGGGGACCCCAACTTTCCCAAGTTAGCTATGAGGTCGACCAGAGGAGCGAAGATCCGCTTTTATGAATCACTTTATAGACAATACTCCAATCTCGATTTCACAAAGATCCATGACCGGCCCATAGCAATAGCCGGGCTAGAACAACGACTAGTGAGTGCTTTCAAGACCGAAGGAGGATACGGTGTATTCAACGGAGCATTCTTTGGGCGCAGCCTTTTATGGACAAGGGATACACAACTAAGTGATGGCCTGAAATTGATTGACTTTCCACGAGATCAGAAGTTCGGAGTTCCGACGTGGTCATGGACAGCGTACGAAGGACCCATTACATACTTTGACATACCTTTTGACCATGTTCGATGGACATACAACACTGCAGAAGGAAGAATTCAATCGCCATGGACGAGTATGGAATCAGACTGTACTTCATTCTCATTGCATACAGGGGAACTTGATGGAAGAATTGATCTTACTGCCCAAGCAAGGGAGATGCTAGATCTGGAATCAGCCGAGGCGCAGGAAAAGGTCATATATGACGAAGGAATGTCGCCGCCAGGTGTACGTAAGCTATGCGTTATTGTTGGACACGAAAAGCCAAAGGATGAAGCAGTTACGATACAGGACCTGGACTATTATGCTCTACTCATTGCTCCCTCTGCTGATTCCAGCAACGATTCTTACCGAAGGGTTGGTGTTGGCAGATTATTAGGAAGTTGGATTGACTTTGACAAGCCTGAGTGCAGAGTCTATATATCCTAGCAACTCTCGATAGTAACTCATTCCGAGTCAATCCAACTCTTTTGATCTTTTATGATAGTGTCAAATCTTTACAGATTGGTTTATCTTATCGATCCAGCCGAGCCCTTCTCGATTGAAGCCTAACCTATAGTCTCCAGTTTAGTGCATGATGGCTAATTGCCATGTAGCTCTTGTTAATATAATCAGGATGAAACATCTCCATACCGTGGCATTACTTGCCAGAAGAGATTTAACTTGCACCGCGTGATTCTTTCTAAAAACCAACAAACTCACCTAAGCCCGAGAATTCTTAATTCAATTTTGGGATAATCAGTCGCAAACCATGGGGGATGTCAGCGAGCGCGTGTCATATTGGCTTATCGTAGGTACTTGGGGCATGCGCCGATTTCCTGCGGTGGTCAAGTATCTCAGATAAGGGCCAGCAGAAGACGCTAAACCACTTTCACCATTTCGCGACGTTACCCCTCCAACAACGCCACCCCACCATGATGGCCAAATGAGTTAGGCCTCTTCAGCACTGTTTTAACCATCAACAATACATCGTCACTTCAATCAGCATGCGCAATTGAGAAATGACCAGCCTCCAAGTCTCAAACCCTCGCGCTCACAAATACAGTCGTGTATGGCCGTGGCTCAATTCAATCGAACAAGAATCCTTTCCGACCGAAGAGTCAGAACATCAACGCAAGCGACGTAAGATAAACAACACCAAATCAGACCGCGACAGTCAATTGTATCGCATCCCAACGCCTCCAGGATCGTCTCAAGACAGCCACTTCGAAATCGAGGCGAATGCGCAGACTCTTCATTCAATGCCAAGAAAGCGAAGAAGGTCGACCCACGATCAAGGTCTTGTTCACTCAGACGAAGATGGCGCTGTTGAGGATACCCCCAGAGCATCATCAAGAGGCTTGAGACAGGGAGCCCCGGGTCTGGACCGCGAATCTTCAACCTCGTACGCTTCATCTGGAGTGTCTGGCACATCGTCACCCACCAAACAACTGCGCTATGCTGCGACGCAAAAGACCGGGTTCGACGACTTCAAATTCGACGACTTTATGGATCAGTTACCGCCGTCTCTCCAAGATTTACATCAGCAGCTTCTTACCATCGGTTACGGATTTGGGCTTATCCCTCAATCGTTGAAGCCTCAGATGCAGGGCTTGCGCAATATACCCGAGTTTGCATTTTACGATCCTGATAAGCATGCAAGCAATTGGCGAATTCCTCCGCCTTCGTTCATCCGCCAGGTATTGCAGAGCGCTACCAAATGCGAATTCGGTCGCCACAGTGAAGCTTCTTGGAACATGGAAGTTCACCGATGCGTTCTCGACTTTGCTTTCCGTGAAGCAAACGATGCTTCCGTTGGTGATTACAGATACTGCACCACTGCACACATAATACCGGAGTACAAACCTTTCGGCACATCATCCAAATGCGTTGACTTTTGCATTTGCGTCGAGACTCCAAAGGAAAGCCTCGAACGCCAGAAGATCGACGATGCAATCAAAACGCGGCCAGGCCTGTCAATCAACCATACAGACTGGGGCGACCTCTGTAAGAACCCTATCGCACTTTCGATCGAGACTAAGCGTCAGGTCAGTTGGGAGAAGGCGCTTCTTCAGATAGGTACCTGGCATGCTGCGCAATGGCGGTCCCTCCGAGGGAACGTTGAGGCGATTGAATTCTTGGCCGGGATTATTGTGCAGGATCACGACTGGTTTTTCGTGGCGTCGACGCTGCAGGACGGAAAATCGACGACGTACCATCGGTTGCCGCTTGGAAGCACGTATAATGCATTTGACTTGTACAAGTTGCTCATGTCATTGCAATGTTTAGGTGCGTGGATCAAGGACAAGTATTGGCCTGCTTTTCGGAAGGATATGCTCAAGATCTTTGATGTTGAGCAATGAGATGATTGAGCGATAGCTGCATGTAGCATTATACCCGGCGTTCATGGCCAAAAGGAAGCGATACCAATAAATTGAATTAGTAGCGAGCCCTTTAACTACCTTCGATATATTCGAAGAAATCATGCCCGTTGATCAATAGCTTAAATGCTTTCCGTAAAACAGCTTGCTGTTGCCATCGTAGATATGGCCAGAACTGCGAAACCATTCGACGACTCCATGTGGTTGCTTCTTTGGCTACCGAATCAATGAGTTCATCTATCGCAAGTTTATCTTTAATAAGCACAAAAACGGGTTCAGCAAGTTGGACGGTGATGGCCGTAAACTGGAGCCGTTGGTATTCTTACACTACCAACATCGGGTCAGATCGTCTGCAGCACTACCGGGAGTGATTCTGCACTCTTGCTGTTTATTGCGCAAAGCTTGGTACGGGTAAAATTATGGACGCCGGATGGAAGACATCGCAGCTGAGATTGCTCGGAGGCTGAGTGTTTATCTGGCGCCACTTTGAACTACGACCACTAACGCGAAAAGAGGTTACAGGTGGAGCGGATATCCAATCTTGATTGGCGCTGACCTTGAGCTATTGACTGATATGGCTAGTGCTCTACCGTCCAGACTCTGTTCCTGCAGGGGTAGAAGTCACTGAGGCTGTCAATAGTTAGCAATAGTGATAGCTAACCATCCCAAATGCTGATGAAAGAAATGGCTATTGACCGCCAAGTGCTAAATAGCTTGCATAAGCGATCGAGTGACTCAGAGAGGTTTTTCAACTTTAGGGGTCATGTATAGATAGATTAACCCACCATATAATTTTCACTCTTGGGAAATACTCCATAGTTGGCATTCATAATGCAGTCCAGAATTGCTCTCGTGAGTTTGGCTCTGGCTGGTTTTGCTGCTTGTGGTCCTTGCAAGCCTAGCAGCCGAGCCACAGTGAGCAGCCACCCTATCAATTCATCTGTTGCGACAATCGATGTTTCCGATAGTTCGACGGACAGCCAAACGAACATCAACAGCCTGACCATCACGCTATCTGCTGATACAACCGAAGTTCCCAGTTCTACTCTTCCCCATTCATCAACAACGACCCAAGAGGAAGACATCATCATAACCAACGCTATTTCAGGTGGCTCTTTCGCCAGTCGCGACCCCAACAGCCCAAGTGGCCTCACCAACTTCGGCGCCACGGGTAATGCCGAATTCCACCAAGGCGGATGCTATCGTGTCGATGGTAGCCTCGACGATGGCTGCGCGGCTTTGAGTGCTAACGGAGACGTCACCAAGCGAAGCTTCTTTGGGTCTTTTGCTAGCATCTTCCAGACTGTACGATCGGTCCCGAGAAAGAAGTACACTATCCAGTTCTTTTATCTCATCAGGTCAGCTGGAAGCCAAGGCTGTGTTGCAAGCGCGGCATTTGGCAATGCAGAGTTCTACTCTCAGCCTGCTTCTAGCTCAGGACCATCGTGGGCTAGGGTACTGAGGCAGGTCGAGGCATTTTCTGATTTGCCCACCTTTGCTATCTCACTGACATGCTCTGGTGGTGGTACTTCTTCAATCCTGGTCGACTCCATCTTCATCTCGGACCAAGTAACTCCAGAGACTATTGACAACTTTCACCTTGACTTGGGTGGGAGCCCTCCAATTGATCCTGTCGACACTACGACGACGGCGATCAGGGCTCAAGAGTCCCCTACTCTCACAACAAGCCAAAGCGATTCAACCAGCATCGACGGCTTGGAGAGTACGAGCGCTGCGACATCTATCTCGACGACCTCGCCAGAGGCCGCTTCGTCGGCTATCACTGAGGCACAGTCGAGTGAGTCCACTCGCTCTGATTCCGAAATCGCCAGTGCCACATCGGAGAGCAGCGAGATTATAACATCTTCGACTGAACCTACTTCAGGAGGAAACACTGATACTACTGCCATCAGCGCATCTTCGACGTCGCTAGCTGCTGAAGAGACCAGCGTGGCCAAAACAACTAGCTCAACATCAGTGGAAGTTGATTCGACATCTCAATCCGCCACTACAGCAGAGCCTTCTCCTACCACCGGCTCTGAGTGTAAGCAAACATGTGAGATGATCAACGACTATTACGCACATCTCGATGACTTTGGCTGCGATCTTAATGGCGTTTTCACAAATAGTGCTGCTATTTATACCCTTCCTGGTGAAGAAGTTGGTGCGCCACAAACGCACTCGTACAGCAGCAACGGCGAGTGTGCCGAGATCTGCAAGACTCTTCCGGGATGCTTGTCAGCTGGATTTCAGACACTCTCTGGGAAGTGTTTCTTCTCTAACACTTTGGTTACGCGAGACGAAATACGCGATGGAAGAGACAGCCAAATGGTTCATTGGTTTGGTATGGAGTGCTTCACATGTAGCTGCAGTTCCGGTGGCACATCGACATCGGCGATTCCTGCGACTACACTGGTTCCTGAACCTACCAGCTTCACCACAACCACTAAAGCTACTCAGCCAACAGGAGTTTGCCACAATAACCGCGGCCAAGAGTGTGAGATCAACCCATCGAGCGTCGAGAACAACCCCTATGTCTGCATTGGTGGAGGCGTCTTTCTGGGGGAGGCCTGGACAGTCCCTCGCTCAATGTATCCTATACAGGAGAACGGAGAGCAGTGCGCAGCCATCTGCGACACCCTGGAGAACTGTGAATCCTCTGGCTACTTCGGCATGGAGAACCACTGTCTTTTTACAACAACCAAGATAACAGAGTCCGACTTTGCTGAACCCGATCCGAACTACGACGATTTTGGTCTGGATCCCAAGAACAGTGTTTGGAGCCATAGATCCTGCTACACGTGCCCGACCTGCGTCATCAGCAACGCACCTCTTCCCAAGAGTCCAACGTGTAACTACAAGCCTGGTGACTCTTGCACGCGCGTAAGTGCGGATGGCGTTCTGTGCAATTACTCGGGAATGTTGCCTGGGACTTTTGGCGCTCTTGGTAGCTATCCTGACCAGAGTTCATCTGGAAAATGTGCTGCTATCTGCCGGAAGATGAAAGATTGCATGGGCTCTGGCTACAGGAATGGTCAGTGCATGTTTACAAGCACGACGCTCACGCCCGGTGATTTTCTGGATAGGCATAATTACGACCTTGTCTGGGACGATCCTTCATGCTTCGAATGCCCTGGGTGTTTAACTTAGCTTACAATTTTATCGGGGGACAACTTTTATATAAATAACTACTTCTTTTCGATTTCAAGTTTATTATAAGCGGAGTGTTAGTTTTAAGTGAAACTACATCTCCATTCTGGACATCTGATGCACGTATTATGCTCGAGCTCGGGCATCAATGACTCTGATATATGAATTTTCGTGGGCAAGCTGGATCCTAGTGAACTAGAAGTTATTCTATCATGCCAAATTGTCTCTTGAACCAAGCAATGGCCTGTTCTTCAGCTTCCTCTGCCTGTCGCGTCTCCTTTGAATCTGGCTCTGCCCTGCTTGCGCGAATTGCGAATCCGTGCTTCGCTCCAGGGTAAATAACCACGTTTGTATCGACATCCTTACCCTCCAAGATTGATTCAGCTTGTCGCACTTGTTTCATTCCCATCACGGCATCATCGTCGCCAATTGCAATAGAGAGAGGACGCGCGACATTGTCTATGTCATGTGGGACATCGACGCTACTTGGATGGGCAGTGAAAAACGCGTCTGCTAGGGCGCGACCACTAGCAGTTTTAGTCTCCGCCGTATTGTGGGTCAGCCTGACTGTGTGCAATCCACCCCAGCAAAAACCTGCAATCCCAACAGGAAGATGTGCGTCTTTATGCTGCTGCAGGTCTTTTAGGAACCCAGTTACCCTTGGCCAACAAACGCTGAAGCGGTTTCGAATCAGAAATGGCACAAAGTCCAGCATGGTAGCGAGGAGATAGTACCTAATTGTCGGTCAGTCGAATGATACAAACTCTCAGCTTTAGGGTATGAGGGGAGGAAGCTCACGGTTTAGACAACCAAGATCCGGTCTCATCCCAAAGGTGTGCCATGTTGATCATTGTCCTGACTGGCGCAGCACTGCCTAAGAAGAACCTTGTTAGTTGTTTTGCTTGCCAGTACTGTGCCCACGCCACGCCTACCTACCGTTCATGAAATCAGGTAGGTAAACCAGATAATCTGCGGCCGAAGCATAATGATCCGCAAGGATCTGATTGTTAATAAAGTCAACACCAAAAGCGTCGGGAATTATGACAATAATAGCTTTCGGGCTTCTGCCAGCCAGGGGTGTTGTAATGTAGGTTCGAAGGCCATGAACGGTATCCCAACGACCAGTAGGAGCGCCTGGATTGACATGGCCGGAAAAGCACTGAGGGCATGACATGATATCGCTATCTTTGACGAACGCGGGATATGCCGTACTCTGGAGATGAATTGGAAATGAGAAGTGTTTCATCTACTGCCCAGTGAAATAACTAGATACTTATATTGCTACTGATGAGCTGACTTGACTGCGTAGCGACAAGAGTATCGCTGCAAGAATGAGACCCCAAAGGGTTTAGCTTAAGCGCAGTCGATTGAGCTAACCCTGGAGATGACGATCACATCTGAAGCAGCCAATGGCATGACTTAGCAGCGTCAACCACGACGCTTATCTCGGCATGATAGTTAGTCCGATGTCAAGTGTGTAATTCTCATTGGTTCTTGTCATCAGGGCCTCAGCGCAGCGTTACGCGCTACTCACGGCACGCTTACTGCATGACACTACGCCGTAGTTATGCTTCATAGAATCAAGGCTCCCAACAGACTGCAGGCCAGCATGATGCCTTGCATAGAAACACAAGCGTACCCAACCGGAACTAGAGGCGTCTCAAGCTTCCTCCCTTGTGGTCTCCTATCAGCAATGAGACATCATGGCCCAGAGGGAACAGCAACAAACAGTCTCAGACGGGACGCGCAGTCGCAACGGATGTCTCACCTGCAGAATCCGCAAGAAGAAGTGCGATGAAAAGCGCCCAGCATGCAGTGCCTGTCGGTCAAGAGACCTTGCTTGCTACGGATTCAACGTGCCGCCACCGCCTTGGATTAGCAGCAAGGCCTCGTGGAAAGATGTCTTGGAGTCCAATGAAGCGAGAGCTCTGCGGACTGTCGCGGAGCTGCGGTACAGGGTCTCGAGAAAGCTGGAGTCTAGAGACACTGCTTCTACGTCGGTTGGACTCTTGCCGCCCGACTCAGGGAGCAGCAGCCACCAGCAAGCGTTTCAACACTTCCCCAGAGACTATGGGACTTTGTTGGGCGCATTCAATTGCGACATATTCTCAACACCATCCGTTGTTCAATTGACAAATGGGATCAATATTTGGCAGAGACAGCCCGATACTATATGGTGGGACAGCAGGATGCGAAGTCTACAGCCAGGACCAGAGAATTCCTCACGAGAAGAAACGAGATTACTCATGTTGTTCCTCAACGTTATACATCCAATCACGCATACATTCTGCAAGCTGGATAGCAGCACCGAACGTAACTGGATGCTGAATCGGCTCATCAGCCGAAACGACTTATTCAGCTCAGCTCTCAGTGTCAGCGCTTGCTTCGAGCACTCGTTGACTCAAAGGGCCACTGTGAATGAAATTGGACTGTCGCCAAAAGTGAGCAAGCTACAGAGCCGGTCCATTTCGATACTTAGGGAGGAGGTCGAGCGCTTTTCTCACATGAAGCCGTTACAAATGGAAGATTTTGTTTGGGCGGGGATTCATCTTGTTGATGTCATCGCTCATTTGGAGACGCTAGAGATCTTCAGTATGCTCCAGGGCCAATGGGAGGTCCATCACCAGGCTGCAAGGAAGGTCTTGAACCATATTGAGACCGCAATTCCACTTGAGAACCGCAGTTCAACATCAGCGGTAGAAGAAGTATTATCTAGCTTGCCAGAGGGTGATGCGCGCCGACGATCGCTGCAACTCTCCATCTTTAACTTTATTTGGATTGATGTTCTGGCTACGTCTACCTTTGGTGCGGTGTCATACTGCCCTTGCGCCTTTGACTATCTGCCTCTTCTAGATTCTGATATAATCAGGTCGCAGGATTTTATGGGTTGTCAGAGCCAAGTCTTTGCCATCGTCACCAGAATTACAAGACTCGAGCAATTACAGCTGATGCACCAAGGCGAAAAGCACCAGGAGTTTACAGGACCGGAATTACAACGACAACACAGAGAACTGGAAAAGCAGCTTGGGTTTGTCTGCCAGGCTCTTGGAGAAGATATTGAGGGCCTGGAAAGTGTACCCTCAGGTCTAGACCTCGACGCTGCAAAGATAAGCCTCATCTGGGCTTATGGTGCCAGAGTCTTGTTGCAAGTTGTAGTTCCTCCAATCATGTCCGAGCAAAGGAGTATCGATCAGACCTTTGTTAATATTTGCCTCGAGAAGCTTGAGGCTCTCCCCACACGTCTGGTCATGCGGGCAGCCTGGCCGTATACGATCACCGGATGCATGGCCATGAGCGAGTCGCAGCATCACCGGTTTCGCCAAATCCTTGATCGGGTGCTGCAAGAAGCGCAGGCCCCTGGAATAACATGGAAAGGCCTTATTGTCATGGAGGAATGTTGGAGACTCCGAAGAATGCACCCTGGTCAATATTTCGGGTGGAGAGAAGCCATGGAGAGTCTTGGTGCGAGGGTGATTTTGACGTAGGGATTCATCAAGGAGTATAGTGATAGACAGAACAGAAACTAAGGTATGTTAGAGGATATATCTTTGCTAATGTCGTTGAGCTATCCGGGTATTTAGAAGTCAGTGGCCTCGTGGCCAGTGAATAATGACGTTAATATGCTGCCTTTGACTTGCCTACCTCTATGTGTTCCACTAGATACCCAAGTTTCTATAAAACCAGAGCTCCCCAGGTAATAGCACCGAATACACCTACATAGGTCAAACGATCGGCACCGCTCCTTGTTTCTTGGGACAGATCGGATGCAATCACAGCTGAGGCAGATGCCAAGGCAGCAGAATTAGAACTACTTTGCACCGCATCGCAAATCTGCTGGCGCACGTCCCAGAGGGCTGTTACAAATACCCGTCAGATGACGCTTCACAAATATGTTGCTTACTCACTTTTGAATATTTTAATAGTGCACTCGTTTCCCAGACACTGATTGAAATGGTCTGCAAACGCGTCGCCGTGCGAGCACATACAGTCCAAGTCAGTACTGGCGCAGCCAATTCTCTTTCCGGCTATCGAGATACACTTCAAACCACAGTCTGGCAGCGAAGAAATATCGGAAGCAATGACAGAGAGGCCGGTGGAGGTGGTTGCGCTGGCAGTTTCTGTGGTGGTAGTAGAAGCCGCTAACACCAGCCGAAAGGCTGCAATAATAAGGAGAATACGGGAGGCCATTATAATTCTAGTACATGGTGGAAGAGCATGTATGCGTAAAATAGCATATCTTTCGTCAAGTGGGGAGAGAAACAAGTATGAAAAAAAAAAAAAAAAACAGGCAGCATCTTATCGCGTCAAAGTCTAGAGTGGTCTACTTGTGAGCTATTTTCGTGGTTCGGCTTTCGGCACACTGAAGATGACGTTGCGCAACTAAGCCGAAATAAGCAGCCCAACAAGATTGTTTAGAAGCTTTACAGCAATATACTAGACATAGTCAACTTGACCAAAGCAGCCCTCAAAGTCGTCTTCCTCAAGTAGTATTATCTTAATTAAGAATCTGTAATAAAGCTGATAAGAGATCGAGGAGGAATTGTAGTCTGAAAGGAACCCTTTCCAGTAGCCTTCAAGTGCTTCAAAGCAGTCAAATCATTAGAATTATCGGTCAGAAATGGCTTCAAGCTGTGCGGACTTCGGCCTGTGCCAGAGACAACGAGTTGGACACTGTGAGTAAACGTATCATTGTTCAGCACCTGTGTCGCGACAGTACCGTCGGTATTTAGAAATGCACTGACTGTGACCAGGGGAACGGAGCTCGTGGCTTCAATGCGACGAGCACCAGGTCGAGCAAACCGACTGAAGGATGCAAAGGCCCAGAACCTCTTGGACGGAATGACCTTGTCGCCGATCATGTTGATCAGAGCACTGTTGGTGGTCGAGTTCTCGGCTCCGATCCAATAGAGAAACCCGCTGACGTTGGCATCTACAAGAGCCGTCTGGATACGGCCAGCCCAGGTCATACCTTCGCCCTGACCGCTATTGTTGTAGAACGTGTAGGGCGTGAACTGGCCTGTGAGATCAGCCCACTCGGTGAGCCAAGTCTTCTTTGTTGTTGAAAGCGGATGGTTCGGTGGTGAAACGTAGCCGTGGCCAGTAACGACACTGAGGTAGTTGATCGCCGGATCAGGTCCAGCAGTCAAACCAGCCATCATATCTTCTTGGAGATCCCAGCCCTCGCCATCACAGCAGGCGATTTTAAGGTCGTGGATGCCTCGTTTTCTGATTGCCTTGCCCAGTACGCGTATGAAGTCGGCGGCCTGTGTGCCGTTAGATAGCATGCCGGCGTAGGAAGCGGCGAACTGAGGCTCGTTGAGGAATCCTAGGTTGGTGACCTTGACGCCTGACTTGAGGTAGAACTCAACCCACTGCAACAAGTAGTCTGCGTAGGCCTGCTTCCAGTCGCCAGAAGCGCAGGCAGCACCTGTAACACCACACAAATACCCTCCATTATTTTCATCGTGGTTCGTTTTCATGAAGCCCGGAGCGGACCAAGCGTCGCCATAGAGGAACTTCAATCCTCTCTTGAATGCTTCTTGAGCAACGTTGAGTTGTCCGCTATCGTAGCCATCCCAGACGTAGTGTGGCTTTGCTCCGGGTGAGCCTGGCGAGAATGGCTCGATTGAATTCATGAAGTTCTTGTCAGAACTGTTGCTTGAGCCAATGCCATTGCGCAGGATGGAGAAGCCTGCACCGATATCCTTGCTGAATAGCAAGTCTAGTACATGCTGAGTCCCTTCTTTGGACAGACCGTCTTTTCCAAGAATATCTTCGGCCCGTTGGAATGCTTGCGAAGCGCCAAATCCATCAAGCTCTTGGTGTTTAACGCGGCCATTGACAGATATCAAGACTTCAGAGCCCGAGTTTGAATCCGTGGGGAAAGCTGCCACAAAGTTGGGACCCAAGTAGCCCAGGATGTTCAAGGCGACAAGGCCGAGAGATAAAGGACTCATGGCTGTTTAAGATGAGCTGAAATGGTAGGGAGGAAAGATATGGAAGAACCAGCTCTGCTTGACTTCGAAGAGGAGCCTGCCATGAATTGGGTTGCTATTCTGCCAATCAGCAAGAATTCTGATTCCGCTACAATATTTATAGTTAATCAGAATTCTATGCCTTGTCTACCTTCGCGTAGATTCATTACCTGATCGACCCCTGGACGGACATTAAGATAATCCACGGCGTCTGTCATCGGCATGCTCGCCGGACCATCTGATACAGCGTCGTCTTCCATAGGCTATACCAATGGTCTTGTCATTAGCCGTCAATGCCCTGTATCACCTGGTATATCGGTGATGAGTAACCGCAAGCATAGTGGCTACTCTTGATGAGTTTAACCAAAGTTCTGGTTAAATTCAAGCTTGTCTTTCGTCTATCTAATACCCCGCACAATGGCCAACCTCCCGCAGACCAGAATCAAAGTCAATCTTCATCAATTGCAAGTGTGGGGGAACATTTTAGTCTTCAGTATGTGCTTCTCTGGTGCCGAGTTTGCCGTTCCTTGCCGGGCCCCACCCCCGCAAACATCTCCACTTTCCCCCGGACTTGGCTCGGATGAGTTACTCTTGCGCCGATAACTACCAACTCTCCTATCAAATAACCGCTCATCATCTAAGTGCCTCCTTGTTGGTTCTACCATGTATTGCTCACTCCGATATGGTTAATAGGCTAAATCAATCCAAAGCTGCTGCCATTCGAAAACCTGGCCGTCTTAATCCCTGCATGCTCAGAGTCAGTCCACGCTGCCGTGCCGTCTTTTCCGAGCAGCGAACAGTCCACTTCCCCATGGGTACACCATATCTAGAATAACCCTGTAGCTGCTTCTGCTACCACGTTGGAGTGGAGCCAGCTGACTCTTTGAGCAGCCTTGTATATGAAGAAGATGAAGATCCTACTTCATTTATCTGGATTGTTGCAGATAGTCTTTGCTTATCGATCAATTTCACAGGCTTTTATAGTCTCGACTTCATTATCCTACACATACTGTAAGTCAATTCACAAAAAGTACTGAAAAAATAGAACCAGTATGGCAGAAAAGCGCGCCGAAAGCATCGAGACGGCGCCACCAGATGGTCATCATGGCTGGACAGGCGACACCTCCGCTGAGGCTCGCGCTGCCACCGAGGCAGAACATTCCCTCAGTATCCGTCAGGCCATCCAGAAATACCCCAAGGCCTGTTTCTGGTCCTGCGTTGTGTCGCTTGTGATCATCATGGATGGTTACGACACAGCCCTGCTCGGATCACTTTTCGCCTTTCCCGACTTCCAAAAGCGGTTCGGCATTCCCAACCCTGCCAAGCCAGGAACCTACCAGCTCGAGCCCAAGTGGCAGACGGCTCTGGGCTTGGCCAGTTCCCTGGGAGGCATTGTTGGTATTTTCTTCAATACGTGGATGACAGAGAGGATCGGGCACAAGAAGACTCTTCTGATTTCTCTGTTCTGGTTGACTGGTACCATCTTCATCTCATTCTTTGCCCCCTCAGTCGAGGTTCTGTTCGTTGGTCAACTGCTTTGTGGCCTGGGATGGGGTGTCTTCACCACAATGGGACCCGCGTATGCCTCTGAAGTCGCGCCGGTTGTCCTTCGTGCGTACCTTGAAACCTACGTTGTCCTATGCTGGGGCATCGGTCAGCTCCTTTCTTACGCTGTTCTGGACTCACTTGTTGGTAACAAGAGTATCTGGGCCTGGAGGATTCCCTTTGCCTTCCAGTGGGTATGGCCTGTTATCATCGCACCTCTGATGTTCTTCTGCCCTGAGTCTCCATGGTGGCTGGTCCGCAGTGGAAAGTTGGAAGAAGCCAAGAAATCCCTGAAGAGGCTAACATCGATGTCAGACCAAGAGCTTCAGAATCAGCTGTCTCTCATGGTGGAAACCACGGAATTGGAGCGCAGCATCACAGAGGGAGCTTCGTATCTCGACTGCGTCAGGGGCTCTAATCTTTGGCGCACGGAAATCGCATGTGTTGCCTGGGCCAGTCAAGTTCTTGTTGGCTTCGGTGTCTCCTCTTATGCCACCTACTTTTTCGAACAAGCCGGCATGTCGACCAAGAACGCTTATAAGTTGACAGTTGGCCAAGGTGGTCTTCACTTTGTTACCGTCCTTCTGTCCGTTTTCATCGTCGCGCGACATGGACGGCGATCGATTTACATTTGGGGCTGCCTCTTGATGTCCGCTGCTATGTTTGTGATTGGCTTTGTAGCTATTCCAAGCCAAAGCAGTGCCACAGGAGGTGTCTCTGCAGCCTTCTACTACGTATGGTACTCTACCTACGAGATGACCATCGGTCCAATCGCCTACATCATTGTCGCCGAGGTCTCATCTACGCGCCTGCGCTCCAAGACAATTGGCCTGGCTCGTAATGCCTACAACGTCATCAATATTGCTGCCACATGCGTTGTCCCGCATATACTCAACCCCACCGCTGCAAACTGGAAAGGCAAGTCTGCTTTTCTGGCTGCGGGCTTTTGTATCCTCTGCGCCGTT